CAGGGACACAGAACTGTTACTCAGGGACACAGAACTGTTACTCAGGGACACAGAATTGTTACTCAGGGACAGACACAGAATTGTTACTGAGGGACACAGAATTGTTACTGAGGGACACAGAATTGTTACTCAGGGACACAGAATTGTTACTGTTACTCAGGGACACAGAATTGTTACTCAGGGACACAGAATTGTTACTCAGGGACACAGAACTGTTACTCAGGGACACAGAATTACTTTGTTACTCAGGGACAGACACAGAATTGTTACTGAGGGACACAGAATTGTTACTGAGGGACACAGAATTGTTACTGAGGGACACAGAATTGTTACTGAGGGACACAGAATTGTTACTCAGGGACACAGAACTGTTACTCAGGGACACAGAATTGTTACTCAGGGACACAGAACTGTTACTCAGGGACACAGAATTGTTACTCAGGGACAGACACAGAATTGTTACTGAGGGACACAGAATTGTTACTGAGGGACACAGAATTGTTACTGAGGGACACAGAATTGTTACTCAGGGACAGACACAGAATTGTTACTGAGGGACACAGAATTGTTACTGAGGGACACAGAATTGTTACTCAGGGACACACAGAATTGTTACTGAGGGACACAGAATTGTTACTGAGGGACACAGAATTGTTACTCAGGGACACAGAATTGTTACTCAGGGACACAGACACTCAGAATTGTTACTGAGGGACAGACACAGAATTGTTACTGAGGGACACAGAATTGTTTTACTGAGGGACACAGAATTGTTACTCAGGGACACAGAATTGTTACTCAGGGACACAGAATTGTTACTCAGGGACACAGAATTGTTACTCAGGGACACAGAATTGTTACTCAGGGACACAGAATTGTTACTCAGGGACAGACACAGAATTGTTACTGAGGGACACAGAATTGTTACTGAGGGACACAGAATTGTTACTGAGGGACACAGAAGAATGTTACTGAGGGACACAGAATTGTTACTCAGGGACAGACACAGAATTGTTACTGAGGGACACAGAATTGTTACTGAGGGACACAGAATTGTTACTCAGGGACACAGAATTGTTACTCAGGGACACAGAATTGTTACTCAGGGACACAGAACTTGTTACTCAGGGACACAGAATTGTTACTCAGGGACACAGAATTGTTACTCAGGGACACACAGAATTGTTACTCAGGGACAGACACAGAATTGTTACTGAGGGACACAGAATTGTTACTGAGGGACACACAGAATTGTTACTCAGGGACACACAGAATTGTTACTGAGGGACACAGAATTGTTACTGAGGGACACAGAATTGTTACTGAGGGACACAGACACAGAATTGTTACTGAGGGACACAGAATTGTTACTGAGGGACACAGAATTGTTACTCAGGGACACAGAATTGTTACTCAGGGACACAGAATGTTACTCAGGGACACAGAATTGTTACTCAGGGACACAGAACTGTTACTCAGGGACACAGAATCGTTACTCAGGGACACAGAATCATTGAATTAAAGAGTATGTCAGACAACACGCAGAGGAGTGTCAGAGGAGGCCAATGTTTTAGGAGCGAGCAGACGTGGCAGCAGAGGAAGGGGTCGAGGCAGCACTAGTCGCAGCCAGAGGCCAGTGCTCCCGGTGTCATCCAGCGGTCGTGTCTCCACCGACAACCCTGCCGTCATCGATTGGTTGGCTCGGTCGTCTTCCTCTTCCCAGGTCACCTCTGACACCTACAGCCAACGGTCGGTGGGTACGTCAGACACAACCGTTAGTTGGCATGGCCCGGGAGCAAGCCCACTGAAATCACGTGTCCTCTACCTGCCCCTGTCCTTTGGTGTTCCCTCACCAAGCGAAGTATCGCATGCTGTGGGCTCAGCCCCACTGTACAGTGAGGAAGAGCTAACAACAGAGGGCGGTCAGGAACGGGGGGAGACATCCGCCTCTTCAGCAGCCAGGCGAAGAAGTACTGGCGAGGAGAGTGGCTCGGTAGCCGGTCTAGAGACAGGTCTGTCTCCTGACCCACACGCAGCCGAGGGGGCTAGTAGTGAGGCGGAGACCCTAATTGATGATGATGAGGCTGATCGCACTTGGCAGCCTCGTCGTCATCAGGCTATTTCTTCCGCATCATCAGGAGAAGAGGGTGTAGCTTGGCAGCGAGCAAAACAGTCGGTGGGTTGCCCAGGAAGCAGCAGGGTCGCAGCAGTGTCAGTGGAGGCAAACGGCCACGGAGTAGAGCACCAGCTCCACTGCAGCCTACCACCACGGCCAGTAGTGGTGCCGGTGTGCACGGAGGAAGTAGCAGTCAGCCAGTGAGGAGTAGCAGGGGCAAAGTTTCCTACTCGGCGGTGTGGCAATTTTTTCGTCAAGCCGCCCGAGGAAGTAAACGTAGCCGTATGTCGACTATGTGGCCAGAAAGTCAAGCGTGGCCAGGGGGCCCATGTTGGGACTACAGCGTTGCGTCAGCATATGCAGCGTCGCCATTCGGTGGCCTGGGAAAACCGTGATAAAGATACGGCGGTTCTGCCTGCCCCAGCCCCCGCTCCATCACCCGCTCCGTTACTTGCTCCGTCACCCGACGTCAATCGCCCTCTATCAGCCAGTCAAGGCTCCAACACCTCTGCTGAGGGGAGTTGTCACTCGTTGGCATCTTCCGCTCGTTCAGATGCTCCTTCTCCTGCTACTCCTCTTCACGGATTCCGTCAGCAGTCTTTCTTGGAATCCGTTTCCAAGAGACAACAGTTTGCAAGCACGCACCCGACGGTGCAGAAGCTGAACGTCCTCCTGTCCAAGTTGCTGGTGCTGCAGTCCCTCCCTTTCCAAGTGGTGGACTCAGCACCTTTCCGAGAAATGATGGCTTGTGCCGAGCCACGGTGGAGAGTGCCAAGCCGGCATTTCTTCGCCAAAAAGGCAGTGCCAGCCTTGCATTCACATGTAGAAGAGATGGTGGGCCAGTCTTTGAGCATGTCGGTCTCTGCCAAAGTGCACGGCAGCGCCGACGTGTGGAGCTGTAACTACGGTCAGGGACAGTACATGTCATTTACGGCCCACTGGGTGAACGTGGTGCCGGCACAGCCGCACCAGCAACTTGGACAGGTCACGCCGCTTTTGCCTCCACGTTTGCACGTCCTTGGTCCAGCAAAGATGTCCGCCTCTACCACCTCTTCTTCCGCCGTGTCCTCAGCCGCCACCCCCGTGCCAAGTCCCATTATTACCCGACCCGCATATCACATGTGCAGGGCGCAACGGTGTCACGCTGTGCTGCACCTGGTATGCCTTGGCGAACGTAGTCACACAGGGGAGGAACTTCTGAGTGTAATGAACAGAGAAATCGACAGATGGCTGTCTCCGCGCAAACTGAAAATCGGAACCATGTTGACCGACAACGGAAAGAACATGGTGTCTGCTCTGCGTCAAGGAAGGTTGTGCCATGCGCCATGCATGGCTCACGTGTTCAATCTGGTTGTCAAGCGGTTCCTAAAATCCACCATCCCACTGCAAGACATCCTTAAAATGTCACGTAAACTTTGCATGCATTTCAGCCATTCCTACACCGCAAAGCACACCCTCCTTGAGCTGCAGCGGCAGAACGGAATTCCACAGCATCGCCTGATCTGCGACGTTGCAACAAGGTGGAATTCAACAACCCTACATATGTTAGACCGCCTTTACGAACAGCGAAAGGCCATCACCGATTTCCTGATGTTACAAGCGGATAAAGGTACTCCCCTGTGTAACTTAGATGTCAGCCATTGGCAGCTCATGCGTGACACCTGCCGCTTGCTCAGGCCCTTTGAGGAGGCCACGCTATTCGTGAGTCGGCAGGACTATGGGATGAACGACGTCATTCCTCTGTTGCACGTCTTGGAACAAATGCTGTTAACAATGGCTGGTCAGGGTGCGGTAGACGTGCGCACAGATCTCAATGCCACATGACCCCTGTGGGGGCAGGACAGGAAGAAGAGGAGGAGGTAGAGGAGGACATTGGTGCTCAGGAATTATTGAGTGAAATGGGTGGTTTTTCCACTCAGCGGACAGGAGTGGAGGAGCAGGAGCATCTGGTAGAGGAGGAGGAGGAGGAGACAGAGGACCCAGACGCACCGTGGCAGTATGCTGTGGAGATGGAGGCAGGGAGTCCCTCGCATTCCTTGGCACAAATGGCCCATAGCATGCTCGGTTGCTTGCGTAGCGACAGCCGAATAATAAACCATCAGACAGAGGGATAACTTTTGACTGTCCACCTTGTTGGACCCTCGCTACCGTTCAAAAATGGTGGCCTTTTTCACACCTGCTGAGAGGGAGGCCAAAATAACGTACTATAAAAACCACCTATGTAGTCAGCTGGTCTCTGCCTTTCTGCGCCAACGTGCATCCTCAGACACTGTGGGCCCTGCCCTGCGCTTGCGTTCCGCTGCCATGGCAGCAGGGGAGGGGTGGGGTGGTAGGAGCAGTGGCAGCTCCACCAGCAGCAGCTGCCTCAGTCTGCAGTCGATGATGAGTAGCTTTCTTCACCAGCGCAGTGAGGAAACTACTAACCAGCCGCAGCAGCAGCAGCATCAGGTGGACCTGGAGCAGGACCTCAAACAACAGGCTCGGGCCTACTTGGACAGCACCCTGCCAACCGAGGTAGACAATCCCCTTGACTACTGGGCAACGAAACTTGACCTTTGGCCCCAACTAGCTGAATTTGCCCTTGAAAGGCTGTCATGCCCGGCCAGTAGCGTGGCATCGGAGCGCGTGTTTAGTGCGGCAGGAGGTATTGTAACTCCGCGGAGGACACGACTGTCCACCCAAAGTGTGGAGAGACTCACGTTTGTGAAAATGAATCAGGCGTGGATTATTCTGGATTTCAAACCACCAGTTCCTGACACAACTGACTAAATCCGCCATGAATCATGCCCCAAACATGTTATTATTTTTAACATAGGCCTCTGTATGGCCTTCAATTTAAGCTGCTTACGCTTCGCCACTCTGCCATGGGCCCCTGTCCGCCTCCTCTTGCTGCTGCCAGGTCCAGAGTGTGTCATGGGTCTCCCTGTACGGCCTCCCATTGCTGCTGTCTCCATCGCCACACTCTGCCATGTGCCACTTTCAGGTCTCCTCACACTGCTGGTGGGTTCCATTTTGTCATAGGGTGCTGGCAGATTACGGGCCTCCCATTGCTGCTGCCAGGCCCGTAATCTGCCATGGGCCCCCGTACCCGCCTCCTCATGCTGCTGCCAGGTCAGGAGCAGAGTGTCTCATGGGTCCCTGTACGGCCTCCCATTGCTGCTGTCTCCATCGCCACACTCTGCCATGTGCCACTTTCAGGTCTCCTCACACTGCTGGTGGGTTCCATTTTGTTATAGGGTGCTGGCAGATTACGGGCCTCCCATTGCTGCTGCCAGGCCCGTAATCTGCCATGGGCCCCCGTACCGACTCCTCATGCTGCTGCCAGGCCCGTAATCTGTCATGGGCCCCTGTACCCCAACCGCCTCCTCATGCTGCTGCCAGGTCCAGAGTGTCTCATGGGTCCCTGTACGGCCTCCCATTGCTGCTGTCTCCATCGCCACACTCTGCCATGTGCCACTTTCAGGTCTCCTCACACTGCTGGTGGGTTCCATTTTGTCATAGAGTGCTGGCAGATTACGGGCCTCCCATTGCTGCTGCCAGGCCGTAATCTGCCATGGGCCCCCTGTACCGCCTCCTCATGCTGCTGCCAGGTCCAGAGTGTCTCATGGGTCCCTGTACGGCCTCCCATTGCTGCTGTCTCCATCGCCACACTCTGCCATGTGCCACTTTCAGGTCTCCTCACACTGCAGGTGGGTTCCATTTTGTCATAGGGTGCTGGCAGATTACGGGCCTCCCATTGCTGCTGCCAGGCCCCCGTAATCTGCCATGGGCCCCCGTACCGACTCCTCATGCTGCTGCCAGGCCCGTAATCTGTTCATGGGCCCCTGTACCGCCTCCTCATGCTGCTGCCAGGTCCAGAGTGTCTCATGGGTCCCTGTACGGCCTCCCATTGCTGCTGTCTCCATCGCCACACTCTGCCATGTGCCACTTTCAGGTCTCCTCACACTGCTGGTGGGTTCCATTTTGTCATAGGGTGCTGGCAGATTACGGGCCTCCCATTGCTGCTGCCAGGCCCGTAATCTGCCATGGGCCCCCTGTACCGACTCCTCATGCTGCTGCCAGGCCCGTAATCTGTCATGGGCCCCTGTACCGCCTCCTCATGCTGCTGCCAGGTCCAGAGTGTGTCATGGGTCCCTGTACGGCCTCCCATTGCTGCTGTCTCCATCGCCACACTCTGCCATGTGCCACTTTTAGGTCTCCTCACACTGCTGGTGGGTTCCATTTTGTCATAGGGTGCTGTATGGCCTCCCATTGCTGCTGCCTCCACCGCCACACTGTGGCTCCACACTCTGGTTTTGGCCCCATGACTGCCCAAATGAGTGAAGTGTGCGGTGATTCTAAGATCGACGGCACTCATCTGCATGTCATACTGAGTGACAGTATTATTTCTCTTCCCCAGCAGACTCCAAGGGCATTTAAATTAAGGGTACAGTGTTCTGCACTAATATAAAGGCTCTCTGAAGCCTAGAAACACCCTTTTTATAAGTTAAATTCGCAGCGAATATATTCGCATCGAATCGAATTTATTCCTCGAATTCGCCGAATCAGCCGAATCGAATTTTTGAATACTTCGCTCATCTCTATTGAGAATACAGTCAGGTCCATAAATATTGGGACATCAACACAATTCTAACATTTTTGGCTCTATACACCACCACAATGGATTTGACATGAAACAAACAAGATGTGCTTTAACTACAGACTGTCAGCTTTAATTTGAGGGTATTTACATCCAAATCAGGTGAACGGTGTAGGAATTACAACAGTTTGCATATGTGCCACCCACTTGTTAAGGGACCAAAAGTAATGGGACAGAATAATAATTATAAATCAAACTTTCACTTTTTAATACTTGGTTGCAAATCCTTTGCAGTCAATTACAGCCTGAAGTCTGGAACGCATAGACATCACCAGACGCTGGGTTTCATCCCTGGTGATGCTCTGCCAGGCCTCTACTGCAACTGTCTTCAGTTCCTGCTTGTTCTTGGGGCATTTTCCCCTTCAGTTTTGTCTTCAGCAAGTGAAATGCATGCTCAATCGGATTCATGTCAGGTGATTGACTTGGCCATTGCATAACATTTCACTTCTTTCCCTTAAAAAACTCTTTGGTTGCTTTTGCAGTCTGCTTTGGGTCATTGTCCATCTGCACTGTGAAGCGTCCAATGAGTTGTGAAGCATTTGGCTGAATGTGAGCAGATAATATTGCCCGAATCACTTCAGAATTCATCCTGCTGCTTTTGTCAGCAGTCACATCATCAATAAATACAAGAGAACCAGTTCCATTGGCAGCCATACATGCCCACGCCATGACACTACCACCACCATGCTTCACTGATGAGGTGGTATGCTTAGGATCATGAGCAGTTCCTTTCCTTCCTCTCCATACTCTTCTCTTTCCATCACTCTGGTACAAGTTGATCTCGGTCTCATCTGTCCATAGGATGTTGTTCCAGAACTGTGAAGGCTTTTTTAGATGTTGTTTGGCAAACTCTAAGCTGGCCTTCCTGTTTTGAGGCTCACCAATGGTTTACATCTTGTGGTGAACCCTCTGTATTCACTCTGGTGAAGTCTTCTCTTGATTGTTGACTTTAACACACATACACCTACCTCCTGGAGAGTGTTCTTAATCTGGCCAACTGTTGTGAAGGGTGTTTTCTTCCCCAGGGAAAGAACTCTTCGGTCATCCACCACAGTTGTTTTCCGTGGTCTTCCGGGTCTTTTGGTGTCGCTGAGCTCACCGGTGCGTTCCTTCTTTTTAAGAATGTTCCAAACAGTTGTTTTGGCCACGCCTAATGTTTTTGCTATCTCTCTGATGGGTTTGTTTTGTTTTTTCAGCCTAATGATGGCTTGCTTCACTGATAGTGACAGCTCTTTGGATCTCATCTTGAGAGTTGACAGCAACAGATTCCAAATGCAAATAGCACACTTGAAATGAACTCTGGACCTTTTATCTGCTCATTGTAGTTGGGATAATTAGGGAATAACACACACCTGGCCATAGAACAGCTGAGAAACCAATTGTCCCATTACTTTTGGTCCCTTAACAAGTGGGTGGCACATATGCAAACTGTTGTAATTCCTACACCGTTCACCTGATTTGGATGTAAATACCCTCACATTAAAGCTGTCAGTATGCAGTTAAAGCACATCTTGTTTTTCATTTCAAATCCATTGTGGTGGTGTATAGAGCCAAAAATGTTAGAATTGTGTTGCTGTCCCAATATTTATGGACCTGACTGTATATTAATTTATTGTGCTTGATAAAAGAAAAAAAACTTTGAGATAATTTGAAACAATGAATCCAAAATTTTGGCTAAATAAGAAATAGAAGTCCATCTAGTAACTTTGTATCCTAGGTTAAGTCCAGAAGATGTGAACCAAATCAGCACTTTTGCTGGTGCAACGCAGGCTTTTTACAATGGTAAACATTTTTTTCAGATGATCATGGGTGTAATACAGCTTGTGTACAAATTTAAAATATATTACTTTGTCCACTGTGCTAATAAAGAAAAACAGAAAAACAAGTCTCCTCCACCTCCAGTTATACATGCATAGCCTCACAATGCATGGAGATTTTCCAGCTCAAGGAACAACAATCTAAACACCAGCAGACGAAAAATGATTGTCACTGAGGCCAATTAACACCAACTAACGCCGCCACCGTGTGTTTTAAGTGAAAAATGCTCTGTTCACTGAATCTGCTATTGTATATTCAGAGTTTTAAGAAATGTCTGTGACACTCATGACCACACCCAGAGGAAATTTAATTTTAAAGCACAGTTCCACCCAAAAGGGGAAGTTCCGCTTTAAAGATTGGTCCCCTGCTCCCTATTAAGGATTGGCACCTTTGGGGAGCGGGGGGGACGGGACGGTTGCCCGAATTTGACAGGTACCCACTCCCACTTCCGCTGCGATCACCTAGGCAATTGGAAATGGAAGTTGTCCTCCTACTCTCCCTTCCCGAAGTCTTGTGGGACACATGACTGGTCCCAGAAGACGACAGGGCCATTCAGAAACCCAGGCATCTTCAGTGTGGGCACCCAGCTGAAAAGCCACAAGATGTCACAGCTGGGTGCCCACACTGAAGATGCCTGCCTCCTGGAATACAGGACGTCCGGTAATACTGGCTGCGGCGGGGGCAACGCGGGATCGCGGGACAGGTAAGTGGCTGTTTTTTAAAATTCAGTAGCTACAGCTTTTGTAGCTGCTGACTTTTATTTTTTTACAGAGTGAGTGGAACTCCGCTTTAAATATATGAGGCAGAGGCAGATTCTGTAATTTCTGATTGGAGCATTCAATGATTCAGCTTTTGAAATATTATTTTAATGAAAAGAAAGGGAAAAAAAAGTATTTCCAGAAAAGATTTTTAAAAAACAGACAATAAGCAACAGTAAAATAAACAGGATTAAAAGTAAAGGTGCTTAACAAAATTTGTTTAGTCTTTGGTTCCATACATTGTCCAATTCACTTGTGGAGTAAATCCAATCTGATATATCACCAACTCCCATAAATGGATCTTAGCATTCCATAAATGTAGTCATAATTCATTATTTTTTATACATTAGTGTAACCACATGTTATGACTATAACTCAATCACAGCTGGATTTATAGATTTTGTATAGAGTTTTGGCTTTGGCAGGTAAAAAATAAACCCAGGCCAGAATCTGCATTTGGTCAAACCATTTAACAGACTGTTTTATGACCAATTTATGACATTTACCACTGAACTTCATACAAAAATAAACTTTGCAGATCCTGGCTAGGTAGGGTTATTAAGGTTGCTGCATTTCTTTCTAGCTGATCTGCTTTGTGTCAATGTGTCTTTGGCTGGACTGGTATTATTTTATTTCCTTTTATTTGACCAGTAATATGTCTATCAAGTTTGAATGATATTAAATACATTTTTAAAAGTCAATGTTCTAATTTCAAATGTAGACATCCTTATGAAGGTGAAATACAGGACATTTTATTGACTATGTAATATTTTGGCAATGTCTTAAAGTAGCCTTGTTCACTAATATATATGAGTGAGAAGGACATAAGTCCAACTGCCCCCCCCCCCCCCACTTCACTTGTCTTCAGGCTAGTCACACGAAGCTCAGGGTTCTCTTCCTATTTGGGTATGGCTGTGGATGGTTCTAATGATGCAAAGAGCAGCAATGACATGATGATGTACGCAACAGTCTCTGCATCATTGTATATGAATGTAGAGTGCCATGGTAATGCTCCCCCATAAGGCAAGTCTATGGTGTCCTGTACTTACAGAATGTCCTCAGTCTTCAAGGTTAAATTAGTACTGAGTACATCTAATGACAGAAAAGAATGATTGTGCAGGATTGAGTATTGCAGCCAGAGCGGTTTTTTATTTGAAATCCTGGCTAAGGGCCTGTAGGCCGTGTGGGGCAGGTGGATGATGTTTCCTCCATGCTTCCATTCCTCATTGGGCACCAAGTCTGGGTCACAAGTCTGGGTCACATGGGAGACTGACCCCAGAG